CATCCCAGTTCATCCCAGTTCATCCCAGTCCACCCCAGTCCATCCCAGTCCCCTCCAACCACAGCCACTGGGGGGGGTCTGGGGACACCAGTTAAAACCAGTTAAAACCAGTTAGAACCAGTCTGGATCAGTTTGGACCAGTTTGGACCAGTACGAGCCAATCTGAACCAGTTCAGACCATCCCAGTCCATCCCAGTCCACCCCAGTCCATCCCAGTCCCCTCCAACCACATCCACTGGGGGGGGTCTGGGGAGACCAGCTAAAACCAGTTTAAACCAGTTTGAACCAGTATGGACCAGTTCAGACCAGTTTGGACCAGTTCAGTCCATTCTAGTTCATCCCAGTTCGTCCCAGTCCACCCCAGTCCATCCCAGTCCCCTCCAACCACAGCCGCTGGAGGGGGTCTGGGGACACCAGTTAAAACCAGTTAGAACCAGTGTGGACCAGTTTGGACCAGTTCAGACCAGTATGAGCCAGTCTGAACCAGTTCAGACCATCCCAGTCCATCCCAGTTCATCCCAGTGCACCCCAGTCCCCTCCAACCACAGCCACTGGGGTGGTCTGGGGGAACCGGTCCAGACCAGTTTAAACCAGTTTGGACCAGTTTGGACCAGTGCATCCATTCTAGTTCATCCCAGTTCATCCCAGTCCATCCCAGTTCATCCCAGTCCCCTCCAACCACAGCGACTGGGGGTGGTCTGGGGGAACCAGTCCAGACCAGTTTGAACCAGTTAAAACCAGTTTGAACCAGTTCGGACCAGTTTGGACCAGTACAGACCAGTTTGAACCAGTTCAGTCCATTCTAGTCTACCCCAGTTCATCCCAGTCCACCCCAGTCCATCCCAGTGCCCTCCAACCACAGCGACTGGGGGGAGGTCTGTGGGGACCAGTATGGACCAGTTTAAACCAGTTTGGAGACCCGTTTAAATCACTTCAGACCAGTTTAGACCAGTTCAGACCAATTTAAACCACTTCAGACCAGTTCAAACCAGTTCAGACTCCTCCCAGTCCCTCCCAGTGCCCCCCAATC